CGCAGGTCCCGCAGACGCCACCCTGCGCCCTCAGGACTCGCAGACCAAGCCCAGATCTCGAAGGAGGACCACCAGCCGGGGACGCTGCGAGGAGAACCGCCAGGAGGGGCGCAACTCCCCAAAGCGCCGCCGACACCTGTCGCCAGAAGCGCCCGGTCCAGTGCCCGCTCCGGTGCCGGATCCCGTGTCGGGGCTCTTCACCCACATGGGCGCGCTGTCTGTGGCCTTGGGCGAGCTGTGCGCCCCTGGTGGCGCCTTCCTGAAAGGGCCCGCTGGCGGCACGGAGCCCTCGCCGGAGCAGCGCGCCTGGCTCACCTGGCAGCTGGGCCACGCGGGGGCAGCCCTGCACTGGGCTGTCGCCACGCTGGACGCCGCACTCGCTGCGCAGTCCCTGCCCTCGGGCCTGCCGCCCTCCAGGCCAGGGACTCACTTCTTCTAAGGACCCACTCGCATCTGACGTTGACACAAACTGGACTGTGCGCTCCATAATGTCGCCATAATTAAGGAGCTCTGGTGGCATAGTGTCTAAGGCACTTGACTGCTAACCAGAAGGCTGGTGGTTCAAACCCACCAGCCACTCCTTGGAAGGAAGACTGGGCAATTTACTTCTGTAGAGACACCACTCGGAAACCCAAGAAGGGGTTGCTATGGCAGTGGGTTTTATCGCCATAATTGACACAGTGTCTAATAAATGGAACAAAGGGTGGGTGGGGGAAGTTTTGAGTAATATTATATTCTTGCCATGCTGGTTAGAGTAGAGGTGCTTAAATTACAGCCCTCGGACTGAATGTGGCCTGCTGTCTGTTTTTGTAAATAAAGTTACTTTTGAACATAACCACACTTGTTCCTTTACTGATTGTCTTGGGCTGCTATTATGTCACAATGGCAGAAATGAGTAGTGGCCACAGAGACCCCATGGATGAACTAGCCTAAAAGATGTCCTATCACACCTTTTACTCAAAAAGGGTGGCGAGGCTGGTGTAATACCACAGAGTGCAAGTATTGATACTCACACAGATAGGCAGAGATGTTTCAATGTTTAGACAGAGAGCACCATGAAACACGGTCTTTTACAATAAGCATGAGGCATTGAACAAATGGCCTGTGCATTATGTTGTAGAGCCCATATGGTTCATGAATTAGTATGCAAACATCTGGGATGAAGGAGAAAGGAAGTGGAATGCCCAATGGACATCCATCCAATCAAGCTGCTTCCCATGATGGCATCATGGCACGGCCTCTGAAAACCATGCGTACCCAGTGCAATACTGTTCATTATCAAAAGACTTCAGCCTTCAGTGAGGATTACACCTCAACCTAAAGAAAAGAAAATGCTCACAACTGGAGAAAGGATTGAAGTTGTCATTTTACTTGGATCCACAATCAATGCCCATGGAAGCAACAGTCAAGAAATCAAAGAACAGATTTGCACTGGGCAAATCTGCTGCAAAATATCTCTTCAAAGTGTTAAAAAGCAAAAATGTCACATCGAGGACTAAGGTGCATCTGACCCAAGCCATGGTATTTTTAATTGCTTGCTATGCATTTGTATGGGAAAGCTGGATAAGGAATAAGGAAGGCTGAAGAAGGCTTGATGCACTTGAATTATGGTGTTGGCAAAGAACATGGAAAATACCATGGACTCCAGGAAGAATGATCCAATCTGTCTTTTAAAAAGTATAGCCAGAATGCTCCTTAGAAACAAGAATGGTAAGACTTCCTTTCCTGAACTTTGGTCACGTTAGTAGGAGGGACCAGTCCCTGGTGGACAACTGCTTGGTAAAGCAGTGGATTGGCACAAATGAGGAAGACACTCAATGAGATGGATTGACCCAGTGGTTGCAACAATGGGCTCAAGCAAGGCAATGATTGTGTAGATGGCAAGGGACGTGGCAGTGTTTGTTCTATTGTACCTGGGGTTGTTAAGAGCGTTAGAACCGACTGGATGGCATCTAACCACAACAATAAACCTTTAATTCAAACGAGCAAACAGGAGCATCTGGAGGATGCTCTCGGTGTCATCAAACCAAAGCCACCGCCATCGAGTCCAGTCTGACTCACCGTGACCCCCACTGGGTTTCCCAGGCAGTAAATCTTTACGGAAGTAGATTGTCCCATCTTCCTTCTACAGCACCTGGTGGGTTTGAACCACCAACCTTCTGGTTAGCAGTTAAATGCTTCAGGCACTGTGTCACCAGAGCACTTTCTAGGTTTTATAGATCAACAATAAAATGACATGTTCTTTAATTTATAGTCCATTAACTTCTTGGTGTGCCAAATAACTTCCTTTAATTGTTGATATCTTTATCATTGTGAAGAAGTCAGTGTTTTGCGAGTGTTCAGTTACTCTCCTCAATCTGTTAATATTTTCATTTTGTTCCTGATTTGCATTGTATTTGTTTGTATACTTTCCTTTTTCTTGGTACCAAGTTTACAGATTGACTTTACATACATAAAGTGCACACAGTTTAAGTGTACATATTGAAAACATTTTTATATTGTATACAAAGTTACGTGACCACCGCCCCAAACAAGATGTACACTATTTATGACATTCCTTATTGCAGTTAGTACTCCTATCTCATTGCAAAAGCTCTGAATGTGTCTCACTTCTTTTAAAAGTGTTTCTTTGCACAATTATACTGTGATTGCTTATTTTCATTGCGCTACCCACTTAGGAACTTCTCTGCTGCCACAGCACACGGTTACTTCCTGTATCTTAACCTCATTCACTTCCTCTTAAAACAATGAATGTCCCAAAGCCACATTTTTAGATGCCAACTCTGTGCTTAGCAATAAGCCTATGTTCACTTCCTTCTCTACTTTCTCAACTTTTTAAGCAGCTGATTTCTGTTTACAATGGAGAAAACAGACTCTGAAAAGCTAAATGACACACTGAAATCAGAGATGATAGGCCAAGAATGTTGACATCAGGAACTGTTCAGTTCCACTGGAATTGAACAGTGTCTCTATCTTCCATTTCCATGATGGTTTAAGTTGAGTGTCTGGCTCCAAACTGTAACTATTCTTATCATACAAGTATGAGAAGTTTTATTTCCACTTTGGATAAAGATAATTAGCAAACACAAATGGCCACCCCATTACCAAGTGAATTTATAATAATGAAGTATGTGTGACAACTGGTGCTATCAAATTATCTTTTTATTTAATGAAATTGGTTACATATACTTGGCTGTCTAAAGGGTCTTTTTTTTTTTTTTTTTTTAACTCTCTGCTATCCCTTAACAGAGTGCCTGGGATGCATCGCATCTGGTTTAACATTTATTCAACAATAAAATTCTTTTTGTTCTCTAGCGCCTAATGCACTTGCCTGCTAACTAGAAGGCTGGCAGTTCAAACCCACCAGCCACTCCTTGGAAGGAAGATGGGGCAATCTACTTCTGTAGTGATACTGCCTCAGAAACCCAAGGAAGGGTCATTATGAGTCAGGTCCAACTCGACGGTACATAACAACAACAACCTTTGTGGAGAGGTTTTCCAGGTTGAGAACAAGTTTGGTTTTAATTGTATTTCTCCAACACCCAGCACAGCATCTAGTTTACAAATAGTAAAAGCTCAGCAAATAATTGCTAAATTAATGACATAGAGCATTGAGAAATTATATCCTGCTCCAATTGCTTTATTATGGGTGGAAATATCCCAGCAAACCCAGACTCCCACTGAGGAATGCTGCTTCATTTAACGTGCTACTTCATGTTCTTACTGTTATTGCCCCATACGTTTCAAAGATTAAAACGATGGTATCTGCTCAACCGGGAGCTCTGGTAGCATAGTGCCTAAGGCACTTGACTGCTAACCAGAAGGCTGGTGATTCAAACCCACCAGCCACTCCTTGGAAGGAAGGTTGGGCAATCTACTTCCATAGTGATACTGCCTTGCCAACCCAAAGAGGGGTGGCTATGAGTCAGGGCCCACTCAATGGCACATAACAACAACATCTGCTCAACCGGGAGCTCTGGTAGCATAGTGCCTAAGGCACTTGACTGCTAACCAGAAGGCTGGTGGTTCAATCCCACCAGCCACTCCTCGGAAGGGAAGTTGGGCAATCTACTTCCACAGTCAGAAACCCAAGGAGGGGGTCACTGTGAGTCAAGTCTGACTTGATGGCACATAACAACAACAACATCTGCTGGACGAGGTATTTCTCCTTTCTCCCTCTAATTTTCTTAATGATCCTGGCTCTTTGGGATCCATGCTAGGCATTGCAAGTCTGTTTCCAGGTAGCTAGCTGGCTGCACTGTCACTGCCATAGAGTCAATTCTGACTCACAGAGACCCCCGTTAGGTTTCTAAGGCTGTAAATCTTCACGGAAGTAGACTGCCTCATATGCCTTCTGCAGAGCACCTGATGGGTTTGAACCGCGGACTTTCCTGAGAGTAGCCACCAGGCCAGCAGAGCTCTAACTCCTATAGTCCACAACAACGCAAGGCAAATGCACTGCCATGGGGTCGGACCCGACTCTAGCGACCCCTACTGGGGTTTCCGAGGCGGTTTCACTATGGAAGTAGATTGCCCAACCTTCCTTCCGAGGAGTGGCTGGTGGGTTTGAACCGCCAGCCTTCTAGTTAGCAGTCAGGTGCCTTAGGCACTGCGCCCCCAGAGCTCCCTGGAGTTCTCCAAGAGGTAAGAACTTTGAGCACCGGGGATGGAGCATCAGGCACAGCTGCCTTCCAGCTGTGAGGACGTGAGCCCTGTCTGTGGCCGGTCCCATCTCCCCACTAGCCCTCTCGCCGCTCCTACCTCTCCAGCCCGAGGGAGAGAGACCTTCCCGGCTCCGCTGTACGGCAGAGCCATTGTCAAGATGGCCGCACCCGCAGGAGAGCGTCGCAGGGTGCAGCCATCGCAGCGGCGGGACAGGCTGGGACCGCGATCCTGCCCGCTGCCTTGTCGGCCTCCGTCTGCAACCCGAGCCGGCAGAGCCAGAGACAGCGACCCTCCGGAGGCCCGGCACGGGCGAGCGGGCCTGGTGTGCAGCAGGGATGGCTGCGTCCCAGCCCGGGAGCGGGGCCGCGGTGAGCGCGCTGACTCGGGCAGGGGCGGTCTGGCCGTGAGAGAGGGTCACTAACTGGAGGGTGGTTGCAGTGTGCGAGGCGCTGTGGTGGCGCAGCGGCTAAGGCACTCAGCTGCTAGCCAGAAGGTCGGCGGTTCGAACACAGCAGGCTTGGAAACTGTGGGGCCGTTCTAGCCTGTCCTATGGCGTCGCTATGAGTCGGAACCGACTTGGCGGCAGTGGGTTTGGCTGGGTGGGGGTGGTGTTAGAAGATCCGGGAATTTAGGAATCAGTGGAGGCGGGGCTGCAGGGTTAGTGGAGGTTTGGAGGATTAGTGTTCTTAGGGATCCGGGGGGAAATGGGGGGCGGGGTCTGTGGGGTCCGTGAGCGCTACGGTTTTGGGAAATCATTGTGTTAAGGGATCTGTAGAGACAGGGATGGGGTATCTGTGGAAGTCACAGAGGTATCGGGTTGGAAGGCTATAGGGATCGTGAACGGGGGCTTTGTGGAGAGACTGGGGAGGTTTATGGGGTTGGCAATATGGGACGGAGCTCTGGTAGCATAGTG